CAGAAAGCGCATGGCCTTGTGACTTTTGACCCAGGCCTGTGAGGGTGACATCTTCCTTTTCTCCAACCCTCTGCCCCCACCAGCAGGGTGGCCTGAAGCCTCCTCCGTCCCAAGGTCTGCACTGACACACTGGGTTACACCAGTGTCACAAATCGAAGCTACCTTTAGGGACTGAAGACTGAATGAGGTCTCATGGCATTGAGTCTTGATCCCCCAAATTGTGAGTGATTGTGGATAGGAATCATTTTACCCTGCTTTACTGGTATGGAGACTAAATTACAGAAAAGGTAAATGACTTAATAGTCTATCAGCAATTGGGGAAATCAAGGATTCTAACCACATTTTATAACTTGTAAACCTAAGATCTCGCTCTCTTTTTTTTTTTTAACTTTAGATTTTTATTCTTACCCCACCCCCATATGTTGGTTGTAATGCAATACCAATCTCATTGTTTGTTTTTTTCCCAAATTATGTTTATTGAGGTCCAGCACATTTGCATCTTTATATCTGCTTAGGGGCTTGCACATTTAAACCTCTACAAATGGAGACCTTCACACCCTGCCCACCGCCAGTGACCCCACATTTCTCTACCATCTTCCTCTGTGCTCCTTCGCTCCCCCAATCCTACCCTACTCCTACTCTAGTTTCCTAAGTCTTGCAGTCACATGTCAAGGATTTATTATTGATTTGCTTTTGACTCACACTTTGCCATGTTCTCTATGTTCCCCATACAGTTAAGACTGTCCTGTGTTTGCCTTTTTCCTTCTGACGGACTTCACTTAGCATTGTCCTTTCAGTTCCACCCATGTTGCTGCAAATGACCGGCATTCATCATTTTTTATAGCTGAGTAGTACTCCATTGTGTGTGTTAGTATGTGCACAAATAGCACACTTTACTGATCTACTCCTCTGTTCTAAGGCACTTAGGCTGTTTCTAGATCTTAGCTGTTATAAATAGGGCTGCGATGAATATGGGAGTGCATATATCCACCTGAATGAATGCTTTTGTATTTTTCAGTTGGGTACTTAGGAGTGGAATTGCTGGGCCATATGGTAGGTCCATTTTTAAAGTTTTGAGATAACTGGGGCTGGAACAGTGTTCTTACCACTAACATATAAGAGCTGCTTTTTCTTTACATCTTCACCAACACTTGTTATTTCTGGTCTTTTTGATGTAGGTTTCTTCCTCAGGAAGCTGTTACTCATGTTGTTTGGCTAAGCAGAGAGGTGTCTCTGTACTTGGCTGGTGGAAGAAATGTATCACTGAGCACCATGGAAACAGAATGAGAAAGCAGTGCACCTACCATATGCCTAATTCTGTGTTAAATACCAGGCATATAAGTGTACTGCAGCTGGAGTGTACACTTCCTGGGAGCCACAGGTTGGGGTCTGGATCTACTGCTGCTGTGTGGGCAGTGTGTGCATACTCAGCAGTCCGCAATACTGTCCTGACTTCCCCACCTAGCTGCCTGCTTATTCTCACTTCCTGGATTTTCTTGTGGCTTCCGATTCTGCTGCATGACTTCCCAGTCACGGCACTGGTATTCCTGCACAGTACTGCTATTCCACAATGCACAGTACTGATATTCCACACTCACCTGTGATGCAAACAGCAGCTTCTCACAGATACACAGGGGGTGTGACTTGAACAAGGACAGAGAGAAAAGGAGAACTATAATGTGGACCCAGCCCTGACCATTTCCAAGGCCAAGCCCCCTCAACCCATCACCTGTACTTTCCCTTGGCCAGGACATAGGAAGCTCTAGCCCTATGCTCCACTCCCAGCACTGAGATTGGTCAGGAGAGGAATGATGCCTCCATCGCAGAGCTCCTGTTCTTACATCACAGGAAGAAGCAAAAAGTCTCAGCAAGCAGATGAGTTGGTTGTTTCTGTCTAGACAAGGCACCAAAGAACCCCACATTTGGCCTTTTCTAACACATGTTAGCTATACATTTCCATATACTTCCCATCACTGCAAGCTAGTGAGCAAAACAGTAAAGTTGGGATTAGATTTGACAGTGTTGTATAGTGTGTGGTTAAGAACATAATATTGGGATTCAGGCAGACTTAAATTCTTGTCCCTCCTACTCCTTATTTAACTTGTACTTATTGCTCAGCTGCTTCACCCCTTTGGAACTAATGTACTTAATGATAAAACAGGCGCAACTGTGGTATCCAATTCATGTGGTGTTAGGATTACTTGGAATAACTCATAAACAGGGCCCAACACATGTGAACACATTGGATGGTGGCTATACCCGTTGTTACTCCCAGGTGGTGCATGGGGACCATACACTGGAACTGACAATTCTACAAGGGGAGTCTTGTTTTCCCCTTTCATATATGGGAGACTGAGGATTGGAGAGAATAATGTTCTAGCCCAAGGTCTCAGAACCTATGAGCAGCAGTGCCAAAATTTGAATGATAGCCTTTAGACAAGGGTCTTTCTTCCTTCCCTTATGATACCCTTGGGGCTCTAAGTGACCTGATCCCTGCTTGACCCCTCACTAAAACCCCCAAGCTAGTGAGAAAATTCAGTGCTGACATTCCCACAGTGAAAGGAAGTGTCCCCTGCTCTGCCATGGTTGCTAGGACAGCAAAGAAGATGGAGTATATAGACTCATAGGGTTTGATGCCAGCCTGGCCTATCACATGAAAAAGAGAGACCTGGCATGATCTACTGGTGAATTCTTTCATGCTGCAAGAATACCAACTACCGACTTCTTGCCATTTTGACTGGGGAAGGAAAGGCAGGGTGGTGGTGATGTGCTGCCTTAGCTACAGTGGAACTTGGAATCACTACTCAGGATGAGCTGGAAGCATAGTAGCATGGTGTGAGTAGTTTTCCCCTATCTGCAAAGAGAAAGTGTGTTATTTTAAGGCGATTTTCACACATGGAGACACAGATGGTCTTTTCTCCAGAAAGTTACTGGCTTCTGATTACTGTGACCTTCTACCAAGAAGTTCTGATTTATGGAACTCATTGTGAAAACAACCTTTTAGGCACTGGGTCATGAGTTATAAAGCTGGGAGTGCACATGTAGGGATTACTGAGTTCAGACGCTTGAATCTAGTGAGTGGTGAAAGCCAGAGCAGCAACACAACATCTGAGCAAAGAACAGGAGCATCAGAGGGACTGTGGCACATGCCTCGGCTCTTTTATTTTCTAATTGTGACTCTGAACAAATTACCTAATTTGTTCCTCTTCTGAAAGATGGAGGGATTGGGAGAGGATTGTAGCAGGTTTTCATAAGACTAGGAGCACATGTACCAGTGCTCTCTCAACATGGAGTCAGACAAGTAGCTACTAGGGTTTGTTTGTGCAGAGTTGATGTCCACAGGCCTTCCACCAGAAGACAGTAGCTGACAGTGACTGAGACCATGCACTTTGGATTCCAGTAAACCTAGATTTACATTGGCACACCCAACAACTGCTGTATGATTCCGGACAAGCAACTTCCCTTCTCTGAGCCTCATGTGTAAAATAAAGAGTACTAGTGTCTGTCTTCTAGGATTTTTTGGAGGAGTTAGTAGATACTAACTCAAGTGCTTGACACTTGTTGGAGCTTTAGCATATATTTACTAACTTGTACAACCGAATTATCAAGTGGCAGGTATGTGTAGTTCGGCAGTGCTCACTATTCTGCCCCTTGGTAGTAGTGTCCTGCCTATTATGTAACGGAGGTCCGTTAAGATGTAGGGAAGAAGGAAAGGAAATGGAAACACTGAGCCATGACTCTTCTTGACACAGAGCACCCTCTCCCCACACCAGGCTATTGCCTCCACCCTTGAGGTATGGTATGACAGACAAGAATTCAAATGTTCAACCCATCTATTCAGACCATTCCTGGCCTCCAAGGCTCACCTCCTCTTGAGAGTCTGCTCATTCCGTACACTTTCAGCAAACCACAGAACTTGGAGATATGGAGACTTCAAGAGTCAGTGACTGTCCTGAAGGTCAGCCAGATCACAGAGCTGCTCTAGTAAGAACCATGTGCCCTGCACTGGACCTGAGTCTGACTGGTCTGCGGTTTACTAGTTCTCCTTTTCTGATGCCTCTCTGCTTTCTGCTTCCCATCTACCCCAGCACAGCCTGGAGCTTCAGGTGACATCACAGAGAGGTAGAGCTCTGCTTAATCCTTAGAATAAACTTCCAGGCCTCTTCCTGTCATGGCCCAGTGATGGCCCCACTGACCTTTCACCTCTTCTCACATGACTACAGCCACACCAACAACAGTCTAGGATCCTTCTCTCCCCAGGGCCTTTGCACGTACAAGCCTCCCCACCTGGAAGGTTTGGTACTAGGTCTACACTCATACTCTGGTTCTTCTCATTGTTTAGGTCTCAGCTCAAGCCTCTCCATTGGAAGAAATTCTGGACAAACCTTTCTAACACACCCACAACTCTTCTCATGTTAATCATTTTCATAATACCTGGTTATACTTTTCTTCACATTTATCACTGTCGAATTATCTATTCACTTTTTGGCTAGTTTTATGTAAGCAGGGACCTTGATTCTCTTGGTCCTGTTTATTACTTAGCAACTAACATCATGTCTGGCCTATAGCTAATGCTGAATTGGTCTGTATGAAGTGAATGAAGGCAGTAACATGTAACTGAATGCATGCAGTCATATAGAAATCATTAGGATTCACTTATCAAGCAGTGGACTCAGATGACTGTTTCATAGTGACTGTGAAGCCACAATCAAAGTGTCAGACTCCTTGCGGGTGAAATGCAGGTACTAGAACTCCCTGCCTTCTAGACTTGCTAACTTGTAAGTGAAGCAATTAAGTGCAAGGTGTTCAGCACAGAGTTGATGCTCAATAAATGCTTTGTGAGTCCTGTTCTTTTTTTTTTTCCCAAGTCACTTCTACAGCCTAAAGCATCTTAGAATTTTTTGACCACTACTCCTGTGCTATGATTTTCTGTTCCTCCTTGCAGTGCTGGGCCTTCTGGAAGTCACAGGCAGGCACTCTGTTTTCTTGCTGTGCTCCAGGTTCACTCTGTATGCCGTGGATACACGGGGGAGGCACTCAGAGCTCAGCACGGTGACCCTGAGGACAGCCTGTCCACTGGTCGATGACAACAAGGCAGAAGGTAGGTAACTTATTTCTTCTTTTCCCAGGTAATGCTTGTATCTCTCCCTAAATTCTGCACCCAAGAGTCAGTAAACACCACCCCCTCCAAGCCCCTCAGACATATTAACACAGAAGTAAGTGAGGGAATTAAGGAAGCAGGAGGTACATGGCCTAAATTCATGAAAGCCTTGAAAAAAACTGAGATGACTCAGCAATACCTTGTCTAGTTTGTGTAGGTTCTGACCCAGAGCATGAAATAGTGGAGGGGATAAGCCCAAGACTCATCACTGCTGCGCCTTTGCCCAAGCTTCTTGGAGACCATTCTCACCCTCTGCATCTGTCCTGGAGTTGGCAGATTGGCGACCTTAGAAAATCACTGCACCTTGCTGTGCCCATGGCAGATATCATTAGCTGATCACTGCACACTCCCTCTAGCTCGGGGGCGACTTCGGAATCCTATTGAGAGAACTACAGTCAGAGTTAGCGTGTGAGAGTAAAGCTTTGTCACTCCTTTCCATGAACTATAACCATCAGGCTAAACACTTGGGGAAAAAAGACCAATCCACAAGAGCCACCATCAACTTAATTCTTGAGCAAAGTGAAGACCCAATTTCTGGTGAAAATGGGGTGGTAGCTCATGAGTCCTCGTGGGTCCCTTCAAGTTGAATAAACATAGACTAACATTTTTGGTACAAGCAACATGAAAGAGATGGTCTTCATCTTTGGGGAGCTCACATTCCAGGGAAGGAGGAAAGCTTCACTATAAATGGTCCAACAAGAGGCTTGCTGGTCCATGTTTGGCATGCTAACAGGTGAGAGATGATGGTGAACTACTGAGACTCAAAAGTGAGGGGATTTCAGATATCCTCTGATAAAGATTCCCTTGATTATTTTAAAATAACACATGTACATGGTTTTAAAAAAATCAGAGTAGAAAATAGTGCAAAGGCAATGGTCGTCCTCTGTTTCCCTCAGGTCCCCCAGATTCTCCTAGAGGCACCATTTTTAGCAATGTTGGGAACATATAGATTTAGATCAGGCTTCAAAATGAACGAATGTGTCTTATACTCAGGAGAGCAGACTCTGAGAAATTTCAGTCACATCAGTTAGTAGGAATGGCCAAAGGAATGAGAATGGCAAGCAGAAAAGTAAGCTTCCTTTGCAAACATTGTGAATGGAGACCTAGCAGAGCTGACTGCACAAATATGTTGGAAATATCATAAAGAGGAAATGGAAGGTGACCATTGAGATGAGCCTAAGAATTTACTTAATCCTCCGCACTTGTTTGGAATTTTCTGGTAAGTGTGGACACAATCAGGTTAACGATTAAGATGCAATGACAAGGCCCAGTGTTGAATGCTTTATGTTCACCTTTTAATGTAGTCCCCCCAGTGCAACTTCAGAGTAGACACTGTTCTCTTTGATTGGTAAATAGGAAAACCTAACACAACTAAGTAGCATCATATTTAGGACAGAATTCAATTTGGTCTAGTTCCAAAAACCAAATATGTGAACTCTTTTATGAATATGCCTTCTTATGACAAGACATATTTCCTTTCATTTTCCTACCACTCCCTGACCCATGTCACCACTCTCCCTCCTCAGAGATAGCTGACAAGATCTACAATCTGTACAATGGGTACACGAGTGGGAAAGAGCAGCAGACGGCCTACAACACGCTGATGGAGGTCTCAGCCTCCATGCTCTTCCGAGTCCAGCACCACTACAACTCGCACTACGAGAAGTTTGGTGATTTTGTCTGGAGGACCGAAGATGAGCTGGGGCCCAGGTAGGGGTGTGTTAGTGCACAGGTGAATGCTTTTGGCTTCATCTGACGGACTCAGCCCTGTCCCCAAAACCTTTGATCAATAACTAGGGGTGGTGCACACCAGTGTCAGGGCTCGAGATGGGAAATGGGCAGAGAGAATGCAAGATTCAAATTCTTGACATCCTGGAATGTCAGGTAAGTGAGAGACAGGTGCTTTTTGAACAGTTGCTGTCACTGCCGACCTTCCGCCTTCCATTTTAGAGATGAGAAATTTAAGTTTCATGAAGGGATGTGTCCTGACCAGCCTCACCTGGTGGTTGGGTCGGTGCCCCTAAACTCAGTCCATAACAAATTGGAGATTTTCGGCAGTGAAGTCCATTGGTGGCCACGACTAGATACATTCATAAATAAAGCATGTATAAAGACCTGGTTCTTGTCACCAGCAGTGATGGTGCCAACCACTGGGCTAGGTGCCATCCAGTTTAAGCAGATCGAAGACACAGTCGTCGTCTTCTGAAGTTTCATACAGCAGCACAGGAAGTCCGGGCTGCCTTTCACGCCTTACACTGAACAGTAACATTGTTCATTCATTCAGCACATCCTGAGCAGTGCTTCCTATCGGTTGGTTGCTTACCTGCAATGGACAAAAGCTAGATGAGCCATCCCTACCCCCATTTAGGATACTACAGCAGGTAATAAAACTAGGACTGCAAAGAATGAGTTTTAAGTGTCATGATAGCATAAGAAGAGGGCCATTTGGGCTACACCTAAGGGCACAGCCTCTGACACCTAAATGCTAACTAGGGGACAGAAGATCTAGTGAGAGGAGGACTGGGGTGTGGGGGAAGAAGGACTAGCCTGGGAGAGGCCCAGAGTAGACAATGTTCTCTGAGAGCAGGCTTTCCTCTCACGTGTTGACCTCCCGCCTTTATTCTATGAGCTGTGCCACTTACACTTAGTTTATTTGGTATCTCTTGGTGAGATTCTCATCTTGTTGAAAATATGTTTGAAAAGAAAGCAGGGCCATCTTTTCAAGGGAAGAACGAGCACTCCCTACTTTTAATAGAAAACTAAACCTGAACACTTAATACAATGGAAACAAGCAAACAGTCTTGTTCGCTTCCAAAGACCGGGAAGCAAGTGTAAGTCTGGATGACAGAGTCCGAAACCCAAACCCACCTTTTTTAAAGTGGTCTGAAGGAGGGACAAACACAAGCAAGGGATGCCAGCTGCTTTCCAAATGTATATTGCCTAGTGCTGGGTCATCTTGACAACGACCTGAAGTCCTCCTCCAGTCCCAGGAGTGCCTTCTACACCGTGGCGAACACTGTGTGCAGAGGAACTGAAGGCATTTCCAGTAGTTGGGACAGTGTGTCTCACAGCAGGGACAGCAAGAGCTCAGCAGGGGCCGGTCCTAGAAGCCCTATATGTAGGGTTAGAGAATATTTGGTTCAGGTCCCCACCCACCCACTCAGAGTAACGGGAAACTTTAAAAGTGTTTTTCATGGGGGTACAGGGTGATTGTGTCATGTTTTCAAGGGAGAAAGATTCCTCTGTTGTAAGCTTGAACTAATGGGTTCAAGACCAGGCTGTCAAGCTCATAATCTACAGGAGATAGTGTGGTATTCCGGGCTGGGGCCCTATCAGAGGCATTGGGGATTTCCTGAAATACTTAGTAGGTAGCACGTCATACTTTAAAAGACTTCAATAAGACCCTGTAAGCAAGGCAAAGCAGCGTAGCCCCCAATGTGATAAGGGGTTGGAGGCCGATGGGATTAAATGAGCTGCTCAGAGTGGTAGCATGTGATCCCTAACTCTCACAGTGAGCCTTAACGACTCTTACATTAACCCTCCAAGAATCTGAGGCGCTCAAGAGAAGAGAATTTGGTCAAGGGATAAAAGGTATCTCTCTCTGGGCTGGGCTTTATCTGCTCTGCTCTGGGTCCTGGATTGTAGCTTTCTCCCTTTCACATGAAAGGAAGGTTTCTTTAGATAAAAGCTGAAAGAGGACAGGCAGGGAGGCAGGCAGGCACAAGCAAAGGGCCCATGATGAAAGCTGCTGTGAGTCATCTTGACCGCCATCTTGCCATGGACGGGAAAGGCATTCCACTTTACTGGGCTTTCCCACAGAGCTCAGGGGGTTTGGGTGGAAGCAAAGCCAGAGCCCCACTCCTGACTTTGTCTTTACAACTTTCTGGGATCCTTTATGATCCCGCAGGTCATAAATCTTGTGGAAAGGCTGCCTTGCCACCCACAGAGGCAGGAGAGCCCACTCAGTAATGGACAGTGATAACCTGCTAACCTCTGGTCAGTCACCATCTGCCAGCCCTCACCCTTGTCACCCAGCATCCTTTTCCTTTCAACTTTGTAGTCTCTGGAAAAGGAAATCTGAAATTCCCCCAACAGCCGTACTGGTGTATCAGTGGGAATCAAGGCAGCTACTCCCTAACCCACCCTGGCAGTGCTAATGAATTCTCTCAACCTGGGGCTGGCCTTCTTTGGCCCTCGGTCTCTTCATCTATAAAATGATCATGATGAACTGGACTTTTGTGTCCCAAAATTAGTATTTCACACCCTAAACAAATCTTACATAGAACCCCAGTTCTTAGCTGGAATGCCCTCTTCTCAGAGAGTCTACTAAAATTTCCACCCATTCATTCTGTAAAACACTGTCATGTTTTAAAATCCTAATTTTAGTGTCTTGTTCTGCTTATGGGTTACTGAATGTCTTACCACCTTTTCCCACTATAATGTCAGTTTATATAGCCAGTAATCGTGTACATCCTAATCATTCTAACATAGGTGATGATTAATTATTGGATAGTGTGGTAAGTGAATATATAGTATTATAGACTAGTGATTACAGTGTTTATCTGGTAGAATCTAGAGTGGTAGCCTGGACCCCATCTTTGGGACCCTTTTCTGTATCCCCCCATTCCAGGCTTTCTCAAAAATAACAAGGATCTATAGGTCACAGTTGGAAACAGGTGAATTCCATGAACACATAGGTCTCTTCAGCTCAAAGTTTCATTCTAAATAATGTATCATGCAATATGAAAAGATGTGAGGAGACCTTATTTCATTCATTTATTAATTCCCTCATTCTTTGAGTGTGCTTACTATGTGCCAGGCGCTGTGGTATGGGCGTAAAATACACAGGTGAAGAAGACAGATCCTGCCTTCACTAGCAGCAGCATCTCATGAGGAGACAGGTCAGCAGGCAGGCACAATATAGCCTGTCATGTGCATACTTGTGTGTGTCTTAGGACAGTGATTTTCAAGTCTTCGTGTGTGTGAGAATCACTGGGGGTGGGAGAGGCTTGTAAAAAATTGCACTGACTTCAGTAGTCCAGGATGGGCCTGAGAAAGTCTACATTTCTGACACGCTCTTAGGGGATGCCAATGTTACTTGCCCCCAAAGCACACTTTGAGTGACAAGGTTCTGGACTCAGATGACTGGCACAGTTAATCCAGACCTGGAAGTTGGAAAGAACCTCTGGAGAAGAAAATGGACATTATTCTTAGACTCAAGAGTAAACTGAAGTCCTCCAGGTGGAACAGGGAGGGTTTTCATCACAGAGACCTACAGTATACAGATGCGAGAAAGCAGGAAGATGCTTCACTGCGAAAGACAAATCCCTCTGGAGCAGAGCTCAAGGTGAGAGAATTTAGGAAAAGCACAAGCTCAGCAGAGGCCGGTCTTGGTGGCTCTTGTGAACCCTTCTCAGAGGGGTGCTTTCTCCAAAAGCCTGCTAGGACTTTATGCAGAAGCGCAGTGTGGCTCAGTGTGTCTGCCTTTCCAGGGAAGCAAGCGTGCAGAATGTCAAATTGTCAAGGAGAGAGCAAGACACTGCCTGGAGCCAGGAGCCACGGGTTCACATCCTGGCTGTCACTGGCTTGCTGTGTGACCTTAGACAAGCTTTATCCCCTGCCCTGGACCTCTTATCGTAGCGTGAAAGGGCTAGAAGCCAAAATCCTTTCCCTTAGTTGTGAAGCCAAGGAACCAGTCAGCCCTGAAGGTCAAGAACAAGCACGCTGTGAATGTCCACTCACCTGCAGCCCAGCACGTCCTGTTTCTCAGGGACCTAGGGTGACTAGGGTGATACGGGCTTTCCCCTGGGACACCTACAGGATGATATCATGGGAGCAACTCTGTTGTGATTTTCTTGGTCTATAGTTACCAAACCCTAAAATGTTTTCTACCCCTCCCTAGCGCTGGAGCCCTATACCCCCCATAAAATTTAGTGACAAAGGGGTGTCTCTTACTTCTGCCTAATAAATCTATCAGGCCAATGTCCTCCAGAGCCCGGTTCCCATGGCAACCGCAGGTTACTGCAAACAGCTGCTCGGAAGAAGACCTGCTGACACCCAGCTGTCCCAGCCATACGGTTCCTATTAGGACACTTGCAAAACTGAGCTCATAGGTGGCCAGGAACCAGGGTCTGCTACAGTCAGAGCATCCTTGACCATCCTTGGACTTCTCAGACCTCTCACTTATTTTTGACAAAATGACAGGGTCAAGAGAAGAGAACATGGGCTGGAAGAGATTTATTTCCTTTAGCTGAGGAAAGGTATTTTTTATGATGTCAGCCCTCCTTGCTTCCATGGCAGACATTGCTAGTAGATCACAGAAACCATCACAGACTTGGTTCAGCATGCAACCTTTTTTTTTCCCCACTTAGAAAATATTTTATTCATGGGCTTTGTTATAAATCACTTTCTTTATGTTGACTAGAAAACTGGAAGAAACAAATACCTTCTTTTCTTTTGAAAATCTACATACATTTTTATAGAATGATTTATAACATTATGCAAGTCTCAAGTGTCTAGCATTAGGATCTTTTTTAAATAGAGCAAGACAAGAAACCTTTCCCATTTGAAAAGAACCAGTGCATTCTGTGTCACTAGTAAAAACAAGCAAGGCATGGTTGCCTGTGTATTTTTTCAGACGAGGCTCATATTTATCCTTCAATAGCATGGATAAATCCTCTGAATTTCTAGGACACTGGAAATAAGGGCAA